GGGGGGGGGGTTCCGGGGATCACTCAGGGGCCACATGAGCGGGGGGACAACTCCTTCCCCGCCCCTGGAAAGGGGCATGGATGAGCCGATACTCCAGTGCACCCAGGCGGGGCGTTTCGCTGTTACATTTCTCCGACGTGGGAGGGAGCCCCTCAGCTGGGTGCCCCACGTGTGCCTGAGGGGTCCTGCCTGAACGAGAGTGCCAGGGGGCAGTTGTGTTGTTCTGCAGCAGAATGGCTCGATTCGACTCCACCGACACCCCAGAGCCCGGCAAGGTTTTCACGGTAGACGTTTTCAGGACTCAACGCTCCTGTCATCTGACGAAGGGAACTCTGACTCTCCAAAGCTTTCACCCTGAAAAACTCCTGGCCTCAAATCGAGCAGGTGTGAATGACTCGCCTGGGCGACTGGCTCTGCAGAACGCACTCCTGGGAAAACCCCAGAAGGAACGGGCCTCGGAGCGTGCAAATTAATGGGGCCTGGAGCCCGACTTTGAGGGGAGGGCTTTCCGGGGAGTGAGGCACGTACCCCGTGCGGCGTAAACACCCACTCTGGGCTCCAGAGAGCAGATGGCGAACCCCTGTGGTCCACTACATCCTGTCTTGGATTTGGAGTGGAAATCGGAGTCCCCGTGGCACACCTAGGGGTCCAAACAGCGCCTGGATCACGGGAATCTAGCCCTCTGATGCTCAGTGGCAGCAAATGCTGCGTTTGACAGACACGCCCCACCCCAGGATAACAAACAGACATTTCTTGTGAGTTGGGTGTGTCCCTGTGGCACACTTGGGGGGTCCAAACAGCGCCTGAATTACCGGCATCTAGCCCTCTGATGCTCAGGGGCAGCAAATGCTGCGTTTGACAGACACGCCCCACCCAGGATAATAAACAGACATTTCTTGTGAGTTGGGTGTGTAGGAAGCTTCCTAGAATTTTTTTTTGATAGAAACGGAGACATCTCCCCGGTGTACCAGGCACGAAAGTGGGGGGCTCCTTGCCTAGGGGGCACTTCCTTCTCAGAGGGATGAGCCAGTCGGATGAGTAACCTGCTCGTTCCACCGGGAGGCCACGTACTCGAGCGATCCCCCACACTCTGGACATGACCTTGAGGAGACTGAGGCAGAGAAGGTGAAACACAGGAAGATAGGGAAGCAGCGACTGGGAGCCCGGCTTGAGAATCGGTACAGGAGGGAAACAAAGAAAGAGAGGTGGGGCTGCTTTCAGTCACATGGTCTCGGTCTCCACGCTAGCCGGACCCTGTGGAACCTCAGCAGAAAAAAAACGGTCACAGAGCTGGCTGTGCATTTTCCAAAATGGAGATGCTCCAAGCACCTGGACGTGATGTACCTCTCTTGGCAGCTGGTGACTCACTCCGCAGATTGTCCCTCCAAGATGGGCCCTCTTGTTCCTGGCAGCAGTTTGCCTACCACACGGACTCCCCCCCCCCTCAGAGGGTCAGGAGTGGTATGCAGCCCACCCCGACCCCCCCCTCGTGAGACACCATCGGGGCCATGAACGTCCAGCGGTTGGTCTCGGGGTCGTACATTTCTACCGAGCTCAGGTTGGACTGTCCGTCGTAGCCCCCCACGGCGTACAGGCGGCCACAGTTTGCCACGAGGGAGACGCGGCTGCGGCGGGTGTTCATGGGGACGATCAGGTACCACTGGTCCGCCATGGAGCTGTAGACCTCGGCGATGCTGAGGAACCCCGAGCCGTCGTAGCCCCCGCAGACGAACATCTTGCTGCCCAGGCAGGCCGCGCCGTGTCGGCAGCGTTTGTTGAGCATGCTGGCCACGCAGTGCCACGAATCCGTGTGATGGTTGTAGTACTCCACCTGCAGAGAAGAAGAGAAGAAGAGATTGGATTTATACCCCCGCCCTTCACTACCCAAAGGTGCCTCGGAGCGGCTTACAAACTCCTTTCCCTTCCCCTCCCCACAACGGACACCCTGGGAGCAGTGTTCCCTCTAAGCTGTGTAGTCTTGTGAGCAAACTGGCATGAAAGTTGCGAGTGAGCGATTTGATTACTGCATAAACTAGTTTGCTCCGGAGCCGTGCTTCCTGAGCTGAGACAAAAATATGTGAGCTGGAGGCTAAAAAACTTGTGAGCTAGCTCACACTAACTCAGCTTAGAGGGAACACTGCCTGGGAGGTAGGTGGGGCTGAGAGAGCTCTTGACAGAAACTGCTCTTTTTCAAGGACAGCTCTGATCAGAACTATGGCTGGCCCAAGGTCATCCAGCCAGGTGCAAGAGGAGGAGGAGTGGGGAATCAAACCCAGCTCTCCCAGATTAGAGCCCGTGCACTTAACCACTACACCAAACTGGCTCATGAATCACATGAGCTCGAGAAACCAGGGACAGGAGGTGTGGTGAATGCCACAGAGAACCTGGGAATCTTGGAACGGTTTCCAAAAAAGCAAGCTGCAAACAAAGCCGAGGCCAAATTTATCTGACCAGACAACACAGTTATCAGGCAGGCACATCTCGGGCACCATCTCAGGTAGAAGGCGCTGCTGGGGAAGACGTTTTTTTTTCTACCGGGACCCTCTGAAGAGTTGTGGGGCCAGACCAAGAGCCTCACTCAATGGGACGCAGCTCCAAGGGGTCACATTTCCAAGCACGGATGGGAACAGAAAAAGCACAAGAATGACAATCCCAGCCCGGGGCCGTAGACAGCGGTGGGGCATTAGGGGCTTTGCCTGCCCTTGAATAAGGAGTGCCTCTATCCCCAGCCTGCTGGGCCCCCTCCCTCCGCCGGGTGAGGGAGCTTGGGCGATTTTGGGGCCACCGGTGTCGACCACGCGGTCCCTCCCCCGCCCCTGCTCCCTCTGTGCCTCCCCTCTCTTCCCCCTATCAGCCAGCTGAGCAGAGAGGGGTTTTTTAAACTTTAAACCCCCTCTCTGGATTTACGCTGCAGCGGTGGCACGATTTCTCCGTTGAGTAATTTGACTAACTTCAATCTAATCAACTGCCCCCTAAGACCTTTAAGATGGGAGGGCCTGGCGTGATGTGGTCCCTGGGGTCGCAAAGAGTTGGACCGCAACCGTGCGGCTGAACGAGACCTAAGAAATTTAAATGCCTCCCAAAGGAAAAGTCCTGGCTATGGGCCTGCCCCAGCCCCAGAACTCTAGAAATGTGCAGGTGGTTTCAGAGGGTGGCTGTGTCGGTCTACGGGGGAAGGACTCGGTACGAGCCCAGGGGCACCTCTCGGGGTGTGAGCTTTCGAGAGAGTCCAAGCTCCTCTTTTGTCAGATACGTCTGAGGAAGGGTGCTTTGACGCTGGGATAATGTCAGCTAGCTGCCATGCTTTCATTGTTTTCTTTCATCCCTGACCTTTGCGCAGGTGCGCACGCTTGCTTTGCTTAGCTGCCGTGGGTAACTTCAGGGAGGCGCTCTCCAGCCCGTGCGAACTGGCTCAGCCAGACAGCGCTATCAGAGTAACCTTGAATGGAAGGGAGGGCTTGAGCTTCACTATCGGTGTGAATATGTCTGCTCTCAGGGTGGTGTGAGTCTCCCGTTTATGATGTAATGTCCCGCCGGGAGAATCCCCCCCCCCGGCGCGCTTGAACTTCGTTTGCTTAGCTTACACTAACTCAGCTAAGAGGCAACACTGGCTGCAACGCTCCCTCTAAGCTGTGGAGTCCTGTGAGGAAAAAGTCTACTTTGTGAGCTGCTGGCATTAATGTTGTGAGCGGGTGATTTGGCAACTGCATAAATTAGTCTGCTCTGGAGCCCTCCTTCCTGAGCTCAGACAGAAATGTGTGAGCCGGAGGCTAAAAAACTGTGAGCTCGCTCACACTAACTCAGCTTAGAGGCAACACTGGCTGCAACACTCCCTCTAAGCTGTGCAGTCCTGTGAGCAAAAATTCTACCATGTGAGCTACTGGCATTAAAGTTGTGAGCAGGTGATTTGGCTACTGCATAAATTTGTTTGCTCTGGAGCCCTCCTTCCTGAGCTCAGACAGAAATGTGTGAGCCGGAGGCTAAAAAACTATGAGCTAGCTCACACTGACTCAGCTTAGAAGGAACACTGGCTGCAACGCTCCCTCTAAGCTGTGGAGTCCTGTGAGGAAAAAGTCTACTTTGTGAGCTGCTGGCATTAACGTTGTGAGCGAGCGGTTTGGCCACTGCATAAATTAGTCTGCTCTGGAGCCCTCCTTCCTGAGTGAAGACAAAAATCTGTGAGTTGGAGGCTAAAACACGGTGAGCTAGCTCACACTAACTCAGCTTAGAGGGAACACTGACTACAACATGGGAAGTATTTCTTTGAACCGTTTCTCTGCAGAAAGCGGGGAACCAGATGCACAAACTGCATGGTCATGCTAGGCCCACGCACAGCGGCAGGGAGGAACACAAGGCCCTCCCTATGAGCCCCAGTCTATCCTGAGAGTAGGGAGCAAACCACACTTGCTTCTAAAGCTCCACACCGAGTGTAGCCGCACTTGGTTATTGGTCTCTTTCTGCCAAAGGAAGGACAGGTCTGTGTGGCGCTCGTCAACGGTAAGGTGAGCAGGGTGCACATCCCTTGCCTGCCTGAGTCAGAGGGTTGGCTGTCTAACAAACGGGAGAGGTTATTCTAGCAACAGAATGAGAGATCCGGTTGCAGAACGCCGGTCGTTTCAGGACAAGATTCTGAGGTGGCAAGCGCCACCGAGTCACAGCCAATGCCTCCCTCTAAGCCGTGGAGTCTCGTGAGCAAAAATCCTACTTTGTGAGCTCGTGGCATTAAAGTTGTGAGCCAGCCATTTGGCTGCTGCATGAATTAGTTTGCTCTGGAGCCCCATCCTTCCTCCTGAGCTAAGACAAAAATGTGTGAGCCAGAGGCTAAAAGACTGTGAGCTAGCTCACACTAATTCAGCTCAGAGGGAACACTGGCTGGGATCCCAGTTACATGGGGTTGTCATGGCCAGAGACGAACAGAGGTGGTTTGCCCTGGACCAACGCTCCCTCTAAGCCGTGGAGTCCTGTAAGCAGAAATTCCACTTTGGGAGCTCCTGGCATTAAAGTCGTGAGCGAGCGGTTTGGCTCCTGCATAACTTAGTTTGCTCTGGAGGCGTCCTTCCTGAGCCAAGACAAAAATGTGTGAGCTGGAGGCTAAAGAACCTAGCTCACACTGACTCAGCTTAGAGGGAACACTGGCTGCAACACTCCCTCTAAGCTGTGGAGTCCTGTGAACAAAAATTCTACATTGTGAGCTTACTGGCATTAAAGTTGTGAGCGAGTGATTTGGCCGCTGCATGAATCAGTTTGCTCTAGAGCCCTCCTTCCTGAGCTAAGACAAAAATGTGTGAGCCGGAGGCTAAAAGACTGTGAGCTAGCTCTCACTGACTCAGCTTAGAGGGAACACTGGTGAGGAGGCTCAAGATCAGAGCTGTGGGTTCAGATCTGTCCTTGAGCTCACTAGGTGGTCATCTCTCGGCCTCAATTACCGGGCGGGGCTTGCATCAGGCTAAGGTAAGGCTCTCCCTGTCTGCTCTGAGACCAGGAACTCGCATGGGAACAAAGCCAGTAGCTCGGGCCACGCAGATGATGCACAGTAGGGGGGAAAAGTATACTCACGCTATTGAATATTTGCAAGCCGTCGTGCCCGCCGGAGACAAAGATCCTGCCTTCGAACACAGTGACGCCTGCCGCGCTGCGGTTGGAACTCATCGGGGTCACCACCATCCACCTTTCCGAGAGAACACCGACACGAGACGACTGAGTATCGGCCAACAGAAGGACACTCTGTCCCTGATCCCGTGCATCTCTCCCCCTGCTGGATGAATTTCCCCCTGGTGGAAGGGACCTTCCCCAATATGGCTCAGTGGCAGAGCATCTGCTTGGCATGCAGAAGGTCCCAGGTTCGATCCCCAGTATCCCCATTTAAACGGATCAAGTAGTAGGTGATGTGAAAGACCTCTGCCTGAGACCCTGGATAACTATGAAGAGGGGCTGAGGCTCAGAGGCAGAGCCTCTGCTTGGCATGCAGAAGGTCCCAGGTTCAATCCCCGGCATCCCCAGTTAGTAGGTGACATGAAAGACCTCTGCCTGAAAGACCCTTCTTTGGCTGGAAGAGGTTGTCTCTATGAGGGAAGGGGAAGGGAACCTTAATATCCATCTCTGAGAAAATACCCAACGAAATGAGGATACTAAGAAGAGGAGAAGGTGGTGGCAGCAGAAAGACTCACTTGTCCGTCTCAGGCGAATAGACTTCTACAGAGTTGAGGGAGGAAGTGCCGTCGTACCCGCCACACACGTAGATCTGCCCGTCTAGCACTACTGTCCCCATGGCACTGAAACAAGCCAGGAAAAAACAACAGCTTTGTATTCAGTTTGTATTAAGTTAAGGAGCTGCGGTGCCTCAAGTGGTTAAGACGCTGAACTGCAGGCTGTGGAAGGTCGGTAGTTCAGCAGTTCGAGACCCGAGTTGCCGCATGACGGAGTGAGCTCCCGTCTCTCGTTCCAGCTCCTGCCAACCTAGCAGTTCGAAAGCAAGAAAATTGAAGTAGATAAATATGTACCACTTCAGTGGGAAGGTAACAGCATTCCGTGCGCCTTGGTGTTTAGTCATGCCGGCCACATGGCCACGGAAATGTCTTCGGACAGCGCTGGCTCTTCGGCTTTGAAACGGAGATGAGCACCGCAACCCTAGAGTCGGACTCGACTGGCTTTCAAGCAAGGGAACCTTTACCTTTACTTCCTCGGGAGGTGGTGGGCTCTCCTTCTTTGGAGGTTTTCAAGCAGAGGCTAGAGGGCCATTGGACAACTATGCTGATTCTGTGAACTCGGGCAGATCATGAGAGGGGAGGGCAGGATGGGTTGCACCAGTGCTTCGTTCTTCTCGTGGCCCTTTCTTACACCCCCAGGGAAACGCCGATTGCCCCTTTGGGGTCAGGAAGCAATTTTTTTTCTCCAGGACGGTTTGGCTGGGGATCCTGGAGAGTTCTTTGTCATCTTCTGGGCATGGAGCGGGAGTCACTGGGGGTATGGAGGGGGAGGTATTTGTGAATGTCCTGCATTGTGCATGGGGGTTGGACTAGATGACCCTGGAGGTCCCTTCCAACTCTATGGTTCTATGATTCCCTTGGGTGACTGGGGAGCTGGCTTCTACGAGGCTTCTTAGGGCTGGTAGTCAGAGACCCCCGGATGATAGTGATTGCTCAAGCTTATACCTTTGGCTTTTTCCCTCTCTCTCTTCCCCCTCTGCTTGCCTGCAAAGGTGGAAGCCTACTGAGGTTTTCTCATACGATTATCGTCAGGTATTCCAATAACTCAGCACCAACACACAGGACCTAAGTAGGTTCAGTTTATTGATCAGCGTGATGGACACTCCATGAACTTCTGTGTCAGGAACAGGGGTCATTTCCTGCAGGAGCACATAGGAGCGGAGCTCCGGCAGTAAAGAGCCCAGGGGGCGGGCACAGGCAACAAGCCCCACCCCCTGCTCCCAGCAGCCCTCAGTCAGAGCAAGAAGCAGCCAGGTAAGTTGCAGAGCACCCCCCCACACACCCGGTCCCCCGGGTCCAAAACAGTCCAGTGGCACCTTTAAGACCAAGTTTTATTCAGGTACAAGCTCTCCCTCCTCTGTGAGGACAGATCTGCACGTTCCCCCCCCCAATAGCTAGCAATCCAAAACAGTCCAGTGGAGCCTGAGCAGTGGGTGTTGCCTTCTTCTTTTCTAGTCCTATTTGTACAATCCTCGTGTGACCAAATTTGTCAATTTCTTGGTTAAGGAAGAAAAGCTAAACACTTTTAAATAGTTAAGTAGCTCACACCGGTGGTTTAAGATGTCAGAATCCCAGAAAAAAATATACTGTGTTGTTTAGAGCAGGTTTCTGCCAGCTTAACATAGACTTGCTAGTAAGGAATTAATCACAGAATCCTAGAATGTTAGAGTTGGAAGGGACCTTGCAGGTCATCTAGTCCAACCCCCTACACTCTGCAGGAGCAGAGCCGAAAGATAGCCCTGCAACATACCCGAAGGATGGTCATCCAGCCTCTGCTCGAAAACGCCCAGCGAAGGAGCGTCCACCACCTCCCGAGGTAGTCTGTTCCACCACTCAACCACTCTGACAGTTAGGAAGTTTCTCCTGATATTCTCCTGATATTTAGCCGGTATCGATTCCCTTGTAATTTCCACCCATTAGATCTAGTCTTGCAATCCGGAGCAAGAGAGAATAGATCTGCTCCATCTTCTACATGACAGCCCTTCAGATACTTGAAGACTGCAATCGTGTCCCCTCTGAGCCTTCTCTTTCCCAGGCTAAACAGACCCAATTCTTTCAGCCTTTCCTCGTAAGACTTGGATTCCAACCCTCTTACCATCCTGGTTGCCCTCTTCTGGACACGCTCGATGGTTGTGTGCTTCAGTTAAAAAGACATGGTTATGGTTCCAATGGGAAGAACCACCCAGTTAGGTAAGATAATTCAGTACAGCTAAACTGGGACTTGAAAACAGGCTTAGAATCAGAATTAGCCCCATCAGTCATAACCCAATAAAACAGTGACATATTTTATCTGCTGCAATTTATTCGGGTCCCAAGTGTTCCCCCCCAACCTCTATAAGCTTGACGCAGGCTCCCAAAAGACCCCCCGTGAAATTCTCCCTTCCTTCCCGTCGGCCATGCCGCGCAAAGGTCTCCTCCCCTGCCACACACCTTCGTTTGCTGTTCATGCTTCCCACTTTGGACCACGAATCCGACTCCGGGTTGTAAACTTCCACCGTGCTCAGTCGCAGCTGCCCGTCGTACCCGCCGATGGCATACAGGAGCCCGTTCAGCACGGCCACGCCCACTCGGCTCCGTGCCGTCGTCATGGGCTGGCACTGGGCCCACTGGTTGGCAATGGGGTCGAAGACTTCCACCACGTTCAGCGAGTCACCTGCGTAGAAATTTGCTGCTCACATTTTAAGGCGCGATCGCCCACCAGGGAGACAGAGAGAAGGTGCAATTGCTCTCAGGAATCTTCCCCGGGGCAGGGGGGTTTGGCCGCTCGGAAACGGGCTGCCTTTACCCCCCCCCTTACATGTGGACAACTTGCAAACTTTAATCGTCTAGGCGATTTGGCCGTAAATCAGTGTTGCCTCTAAGCTGAGTTAGTGTGAGCTAGCTCGCAGTTTTTTAGCTCTGGCTCACAGGAAGGACGGCTCCAGAGAAAACTCATTTCTGCAGCAGCCCAATCGCTCGCTCACAACTTTAATGCCGGTAGCTCACAAAGTAGAATTTTTGCTCACAAGACTCCACAGCTCAGAGGGAGCCCTGGCCATAACCATCTGGGCCAGGGGTCCATAACCCTTTTTGACCCTGTGGGCACACTTGGAATTCTGGCATGGTGTGGCAGGCAACAGTGACAAAATGGCTGCGGGAGAAGGCGGAGCCAGCTACAAAGCGTTCGCCATGGCTTAACTTCGGCAACGCAGCATGGATCCTTGTGCTGTGGTGGCGGCTGCCGCCAAAGCAGAAGTTTTAAAAATCTGCACGGCCAATCATATCTCCTATAGTCAGTCAAAACCTTGTGGGGCAAAAGCCCTGCTTGGCCCTGCTCACTTCCGAAAAGCACTTGGCGGGCACCATTAAACGTGTCGGTGGGTGTTTCACGGTGCCCGCGTTGGGGATCCCTGATTTAGACGATTCGGCTGTAACCGTCTACGCAATCTGGCCGTAACCATCTAGACGATACGGCTGTAATCTCACATTTTGTGGATCTAATTATTATTTAGGGAAAATACAGTAACGTGGTATTACTGCTGTCCAACAGATTCGGACAGCCCCCCCCCAGCACCAAGGATACAGAGCATCACTTGCCTGTGAGTTCCTACTTATACCTCGTGGCTAATAGCCACCGAGGGACCTCTGCTCTATACGTTTATCCAGTTCCCTCTTTTTTTTTTTAAAAAAATCATCTTTATTAATTTTAAATTAATGTACAATACAGCGTAACTTGAAGCCGCCCATGCTTGTAGCCGCCACCACCTCCTGTGGCAGTGAATTCCACGTGTTAATTACTCTTTGGGTGAAGAAGGACTTTCTTTTATCCGTTCTAACCCAACCGCTCAGCAATTTCATGGAGTGCCCACGAGTTCTTGTATTGTAAGAAAGGGAGAAAAAGGACCTCTTTCTCGATCTGCTCTATCCCATGCATAATCTTATAAACCTCGATCGTGTCACCCCTCAGCCGTCGTTTCTCCAAGCTAAAGAGCCCCAAGCATTTTAACCTGTCTTCATAGGGAAAGTGTTCCAGCCCTTTTATCATCCTAGTTGCCCTTTTCTGCACTTGTATGCCATCTTTCCACCCGATCCTTTCTGAGATGTGGTGACCAGAACTGTACACAGCAGTGTTCCCTCTAAGTTGAGTTAGTGTGAGCTAGCTCATAGTTTTTTAGCTTCCAGCTCACAGATTTTTGTCTTAGCTCAGGAAGAATGGCTTCAGGGCAAACTAATTTATGCAGGAGCCCAATCGCTCGCTCCCAACTTTAATGCCAGGAGCTCACAAAGTAGACTTTTTGCTCACAAGATTCCATAGCTTAGAGGGAACATTAGTACTCCAAATGAGGACGCACCATCGATTTATACAGGGGCATTATGATACATATAGGGGGGTAAAGAAAGACCAAAAAAATAGGGGTGATTATACTCCGTGGGCTCTCAGAATCAAACTACTACGGTCGGTTTCCAGGGTAGATCTGGGAAACTAAGCAGGGTCAGCCCTGGTTCGTACTTGGATGGGAGACCACCAAGGAAGTCCGGGGTCAGGCGGGGCAAAGCCACCTCTGTTTTTCTCTTGCCTTGAAACCGCCATGGGGTTGACTTAAGTCAGCGGCAGCTTGACGGCTCTTTACACACAGATGTTCGCCGCCTTGGGGACCCTGATCGGCAGGGCTCTTTTTGTAGAAAAAGCCCAGCAGGAACTCATTAACATAATAGGCCACACCCGACAGCAGAAACTCATTAGCAAATTGGGCCACACCCCCTGACAGCACAGCCCATTGGCATATTAGGCCACGCCCCCATGCCTTCCCTTGGGGAGCCCGGGCAAGCCTCCTCTTGAAGGGAAGGAAAGGCAGTTTAAACTGCCTTCCCTTGGCTTGCTCGGGCATCCTGTGGCTGCGGGGAGCCCGGGCAAGCCGGCCCTTAGACAGGCCGGGGAAGGCATGGGGAGGCATTTAAATGCCTCCTCGATCCTTCCAGCCCCCCCCCCCACCTGCCTCGGAGTCGCCAAGATGTGTGTGTTACTCTCCAGGCCTTCCCTCTGTGCATACAGAGGTTTTGGCTGTAGTGGGCGTGGCCAACTCTGAAGCCAGACGGAACTCCATTCCTGTGCGTTCCTGCCCCAAAATAGCCCTGCTGATCGGGTGGAAAGATGGCATACAAGTGTTTTAAATAAATAAATCAAACACATATTGAGAATTCCTCCCTGCACTGGTTGCTGAACAATACCCTTAAGCCAAGTTTGAGTCCAGGGGCACCTTTAAGACCAACGAAGTTTAATTCTGGGCATAAGCTTCCCTGTGCATGCACACTTCTTCATATACATTGAAGCAAGACTTCCTCAACCATTACATATAGACATTTGGGGGGGGGGTAGCTGCCAGAAAAGGCTCATTGAAGCCATTTTTCTCCAGGCCAGTTTGGCTGGGGATCCTGAAGGCTTTTTGTCATCTACTGGGCATGGAACAGGGGTCACTGGGGGTGTGGAGGGGGAGGTATTTGTGAGTTTCCTGCATTGTGCCGGGGGTTGGACTAGATGACCTTGGAGGACCCTTCCAACTCTATGGTTCTAAGATACATAAGTAATATCTGCTTAGCCTCTGCCGGGGCTTTTGCTCCTGTGTGAGATCAGGGCCCTACGGGACCTACTGCAGGGCCTGTAAATGGAGCCGTTCCGCCGGGCCGTTGGCCGAGGCGGCGGGTCGTCCAGTGAAAAAGTCGACCTCCCCTGCTGAAGTTCACCAGGTCTGTGTGGGCCAGATCAAGAGGAACTTGCAGACCTAGTGGCGCCAGCTCTGGGGATTGTGTGTATAAACAAATAGTGCAATCTGTTTTAAATTGTTGTTCTTGATGTTCTTAGATTGTTTATGAATGTATTTATATATTGTGATGCCGAATGGCTTTGTGATCCCCCCTGAGCCCACTTGTGGGGAGGGCGGAATATAAGTTCGAAAAATGAATGAATGAATGAATGAATAACTGAGCCATGAGTATAGCTAAGATTGGATTAAAACAGCTAGGAAGAAGAAGGAGGAGGAGGAGGAGGAGGAGTGGATTTATATCCTGCCCTTCACTACCCAAAGGTGTCTCAGAGCGGCTTGCAAACTCCTTTCCCTTCCCCTCCCCACAGCAGACACCCTGGGAGGTAGGTGGGGCTGAGAGAGCTCTGACAGAAACTGCTCTTTTTCAAGAACAGCTCTGAGAAAACTGTGGCTCGCCCAAGGTCATCCAGCCAGGTGCAAGTGGAGGAGTGGGGAATCAAACCCGGTTCTCCCAGATTGGAGTCCGCGCACTTAACCACTACACCAAAGTGGCCTGTGAATGGTAGGAAATTAGCATACAGATAATAAAGGAGTTAACAAACAGATGTGAGAACTAAGTTTGAGTCCAGCGGCACCTCAAAGACCAACAAAGTTTAATTCTGGGTATAAGTGAGAACGGAGTCTCTCCTACATCGGAGTGATGGGTTGGATCTTGCAGACCTGTTCGGCGAAGAGTGGCTCTCTCCTCGGGCGCAGGGAGCTTTCCCTGACGCAAGAGGAAAGCTCCACCAGTAACAGACCTGTGGGATCAAACCCCTCAACCAAGATGCAGAAGTAAGTTGGTTTAAGGGTATTTTCCACAACCAGCACGGGGGAAGAGTTCTCAGCACCGCTTCTCAGATCTGCACTGTGTGTCTGGGATTCCTGCAACTGCTGGAATAATTTTGCCTGGGAATTCTTCCACGCAACGTACATTTTTGCGAGCTGCTCTCAGGATGAAGATCAAATGGCAGGATATAAATACTCAGGCTCCCAACCCTGCCCTTGCCCCAGGAATTCAGGGCAAACTTTGTCTTTTGGACTTGCCGGGGGAAAATTTATTAATTTATTTATATTTATGATTTTAACTTCACCATAAACAGGTGTATCTGGTACAATATTAAAATTACATACGGCGAGTCGATCACATTATTTTTTACCTAACAAGGTATATAGTCTGTTCCATCTTTCTCTAAACAGGTCGTCATCTTTCCCTTGTAATATTATCGACAATTTGTCCATCTCCGCTATATCCAACAATCTAGATATTATATCTTCTTTGGAGGGTATTTCTTTCCAATTTCCAATATTTTGCAAACATAATACACGCTGCTGCTAATATATATGTTATTATATATTGATCAGGTTTTTTAACCTTGTCTGGTAGTATATTTAACAAAAAGACTTCTGGTATATATGGTCATTCTATGTTCATAATTTCATAAATTATTTTATACACTTTGCGCCAATAGTTTTGAGTTATATGGCACCTCCACCACATATGATAGAAAGTTCCTACACTGTGCTTACACTTCCAACACTTTTTAGACCTATTTGTATAACATTTAGCTATTCTTTCTGGTGACCAGTGCCATCTAAAAAACATCTTATATATGTTTTCTTTATAAGGTATTGCTCTCATGAATTTTATGGCTTTCCATATTTTGGACCCGTTATCTATATCCACATTATGACCTATATCTTGCATCCATGAAATCATTGGGGCTTTTACTACTTCATCTCGTAAATAATCCTGGAGAAATAAATTATATAACTTCTGTATCATTTTAACGGCAGGATATAAATACTCCGGCTCCCAACCCTGCCGTCATTTTCTATCCTGCCTTTGGCCCAGGAATTCAGGGCAAACATTTGTCTTCTGGACTTGGGGGGGGGGGATTTAGATGCACTGCATGATTACCCACAAAGCCCCCAACCAAGACCCTGGACCAAACACCAATCAGCTTTTCTTGTGCTCTCGACAGCTGCACGACAGGCAAAGCTGCAACCGGCAAAGCCCGGCATGGATTTAACAGCCGAGGAACACACAAAGCTCCCTTACGCCAAGTAAGATTGTGGGACCAGCTAGCTCAGGATTATCTATCAGAAAGGGATCTTTCCATTTTGTATACAACCGGATTAGAAAACATAAGGAACATAATAAGAACGCTGATAGTAATACGTGCAAAATTTTAAATCAACATTATAAGGGTGTAGAAACGTATTTGTGTTTAGAGAGAAAAACTTAAAGAGACACTTCAGGGTTAGATTCTCCTATTTTATGTTTGTGTTGCAGATCTGTTTTGTCTTGGTTACTGTTAGCTTGTTTGTCTAGTTGCTATAAAATAAAAGTAAAACTGTTTAAAAAAGAAAGAAAGGGGTCTTTCCCAGACTGGCTCCCATTCAGCAACGTTCCCTTCCACAAAAATACTACTTGTGAAAATATGGGTTTTGGAGCAAATTCTCTGTTCGAGCTGGCATATGTGACCTTGCCCCCAAGACATTCAACAGCTGCTTCGTGGGGGGTGATAGTTCCCCTTTAGGCCACTGAACCCATGTCAGTTCTCATTCCACCCTCACCCCACCTCTGCCTGTCTTAAAGCTCTGGGCGTCAGTACTAAAACACAGTTCCCAGGGGTCCGTGGGAAAACTCACCACAGCTCAGTTTACAGATGTCTCCAAAGAGATCACTTTACATGCATTTCTGGCATACAAGCGGCGGAGTAAACTGTTGCAGAATTTGGGGTTCCAGGAGCCTGGGCCTTTCTGGGAACTCTCAGGCTGGGGCAAGGGATGCTCTGTATTCTTGGTGCTTGGGGGGGGGGGCAACAGTGGGAGGGCTTCTAGTGTCCCGGCCCCACTGGTGGACCTCCTGAGGGCACCTGGTATTTTTGGTTACTGTGTGACAGAGTGTTGGACTGGATGGGCCATTGACCTGATCCAGCACTGGCTTCCCTTATGTTCTTATGGATAAAAATCTGGAGCAGAGGTCCATCAGTGGTTCTTAGCCACAAGGTATAGATGGGAACTCTCAGTCTGGGGCAAGGGATGCTCTGTATTCTTGGTGCTTGGGGGGGGGGCAACAGTGGGAGGGCTTCTAGTGTCCTGGCCCCACTGCTGGACCTCCTGATGGCCCCTGGTATTTTTCGCCACTGTGTGACACAGAGTGTTGGACTGGATGGGCCACTGGCCTGATCCAACACTGGCTTCTCTTATGTTCTTATGGATAAACACATGGAGCAGAGGTCCATCAGTGGCTCTTAGCCACAAGGTATAGATAGGGACTCTGGGGCAAGTGATGCTCTGTATTCTTGGTGCTGGGGGGGGGGTGTGCAACAGTGGGAGGGCTTCTAGTGTCCTGGCCCCACTGCTGGACCTCCTGATGGCACCTGGTATTTTTGGCCACTCTGTGACAAAAGTGTTGGACTGGGTGGGCCACTGGCCTGATCCAACACTGGCTTCTCCTATGTTCTTATGTTTTTCTATGCTATGTAGGTTTTGCTATAACTGACTTTGGTTTCTTGGTTCTGAAGTCCAGTAAGCCTTTGCTTTTTTGCTGGCAGCCTAGGCGTCAAACCCAAGGCCTTGCCCTGTAAATGCACTCTTGTCTGAATTTGTATCTGACATTCCCCGTTCTCCAAGTGCCCCATTCTCTCATAGCCTAAACATATACCTGCTGTGGAGATGCCGTAGCTGTCTGGGTCTTGCTGACATCGCAGTTAATAAAATATATCTAGGCAAAAGTTCACCCTAGCAGAAATTCATGTAATCACCCTACCGTGGGCTGGCCTAGTAAATTCTGGATTGACGTCTCCATTGGTTCCTACAGACTGGAAAGGGCATAAAAATGTGGCTTTGGGCTTTGTTCCGGGCTGTTTGGCCGACACCCCACCAGCATGCGTGAGAGTCTTGGTCCTGGCGTCCAGGAACGTTCCTTGTGCTTTCTAAGAGTGTCCACTGTATCAAGTACTACTTTTATATGTATTGAGTATTACTTGTATATAGTTTTAAAGAGTCAATAAACAGTTTGAGTTTTAAGCAATTGATCTCTCTGGTCCTTTTCCTCTGGAAGCCTGAGTTCTCTATACCGTCTCCATCCATCCACTGAAAAGAACCCCACGGGGCTTGGGATATTCCCCCACCTTAACATAAGAGGAGCCCTGACAGATCAGACCAGTGGTCCACCTAGTCCAGCATCTCAGACAGTGGCCAACCAGTCCCTCTGGAGGGGCAACAACAGGGCAGAGAGGCCGAGGCCTTCCCCTGATAAGGACACCAGAAGAGCCCTGCTGGATCAGACCAGTGAGGGTCCATCTAGTCCAGCATCCCGTCTCACACAGTGGCCAATTAGTCCCTCTGGAGGGACAACAACAGGGCAGAGAGGCTAAGGCCTTCCTCTGAGAAGAACCTCAGAAGAGCCCTGCTGGATCAGACCAGTGAGGGTCCATCTAGTCCAGCCTCCCGTCTCACACAGCGGCCAGCCAGTTCCTCTGGAGGGCCAGCAACAGGGCAGGGAGGCCGAGGCCTTCCCCTGATGAGAACCTCAGAAGACCCCTGCTGGATCAGACCATTGAGGGTCCATCTAGTTCAGCATCCTGCCTCACACAGTGGCCAATCAGTTCCTCTGGAGGGCCAACAACAGGGCAGAGAGGCCAAGGCCTTCCCCTGATAGGAACCTCAGAAGAGCCCTGCTGGATCAGACCACTGAGGGTCCATCTAGTCCAGCATTCTGTCTCACACAGGGGCCTACTAGTTGCCCCAGAGGGCAAATGAATAGGATGCCTTTACTGCCTTTGGATATGGAGGTTCCCTTGAGTCCTCCTGACTAGCGGCCAGCCACGGGCCTCTCCTCCAACGCCCACCCCCCTCCAAGCCATCTATGCCGTTGAAAGATACCTGCAGAGTTGAGTCCTCCGACGGCGTAGATCAGGCCCGCGATGGAGGTGCAACAGCGTGGGCGGGTCTTGAAAGCCGGGAGGTGCGGTTGGCGCTCTGGCATGAGGTGGTAGTCTTTCGCTTCGTCCACCAGGTCCCTGAGATTGAAGGCCAAGCCACAGGGAAAAAGCCTAATGAGTTCAGTGCTTAGAGAGAGAAGGGAAAGGATGAAGACGGCGGCGCGGTTGAAGATACAAGGAGACAGGCAACCAGCTCTATCTGATGTTTGGTGGCCGGTCTGGCTCTAGACCGGAAGACCTGGACCAGGCGTTACAAGCCGTGGCTGGTTGGCTTAGACTGAGCCAACTGAATCTGACGAAGACGGAGGTCCTGTGCCTGAGTCGGGCGGACAGGGGGTAGGGATCCCGCTCCGGAACCTTCGATGGGGCGCCATTGGTGCCAGCGCCGGAGGTTAGGAGCTTGGGAGCAGTGTTCCCTCTAAGCTGAGTTAGTGTGAGCTAGCTCACAGTTTTTTAGCTTCCAGCTCACACATTTTTGTCTTTGCTCAGGAAGGATGGGGCTCCACAGCAAGGCAATTTATGCAGTAGCCAAATCGCTCACTCACAGTTTTAATACCAGTAGCTCACAAAGTAGAATTTTTGCTCACAGGCAGTGTTCCCTCTGAGCTGAGTTAGAGTGAGCTAGCTGACAGTTTTTTAGCCTCTGGCTCACACTTTTCTGTCTTAGCTCAGGTGGGGTTGTGGGTGTCTTGGTGGTGGGTTGTATTTCTGTTTTACACTTGTAAATAATAAAAATTTATTTAAAAAAACGATTTCTTTAAAAAGAGGACATAACAGTGCACAATGGCCAGGCGACATCTGCGTTGCTAAAACCCCAGTGATATCGTAAGGACCAGCCTGGCTGCGAATGCTATTTCAGGTAGGGTACTTAAACTCTTTGCAGTGGAATACGGATCAGGGTAAATAATTTCACCTATTTCAATCACAAGAAAGTGGGACAGCAAATAAACAGCCATCTGAGTTTGTTAGCGTAGTGTTATTTAAGGTACAGTTCTGTACATCCTTTTTTCTTTTTACAGAGGAACCATCCAACCACAGGAGATCTCAAACAGCAGACATATCCCTACAGAAAGAACTCCATCCCCCTCCTGATTAGCTGGGGTTGCCAACTTCCAGATAGGGACTGGAGCTCTCCCAGAATTAAAACTGATCTCCAGACTACAGAGATCAGTTCCTTTAGAGAAAATGGCTGCTTTGGAGGGTGGACTCTGTGGCTCTCTACATGGGGTACAAATTTAAATAATAAATACATTTCCATTGCAAAGAAGTGGGTGGGCAAAGGCCCTCCTTGCCCAACCTGCCTTCTTCCCTTGTAGAAGAAGAAGAGAAGAGATTGGATGTATGCCCCGCCCTTCACTACACAAGGGAGTCTCAGAGCAGTTTACAATCTCCTTTCCCTTCCCCCTCCCCACAACAGACAAACACCCTGTGAGGTAGGCTGGGCTGAGAGAGCTCTGAGAGAACTGGTTTTGAGAGAACACCTCTGAGAGAACTTGTAACTGGCCCAAGGTCACCCAGCTGGCTGCATGTGGAGGAGTGGGAAATCAAAGCCCGTTCTCCAGATTAGAATCCACTGCTCTTAACCACTACACCAGCCCTGTAAGGCAGGCTTCTCTGATAATTTCTACCATTAGGAATCATTAGGACAGAGAAGGCAAAAAAGAAGAAGATAAAAAGCAGATGATATCGCACAGACCTATGGTGCACCCACATTGATAATAAGGGGCAAGGCACACTGTGCCTCAGTTCTGTCTTCCACAAAATGGGCATAACGGTGACCTACCTCACAAGGGAAAGGAAGCTCTTTGCAAACCGAAAGTGCCAGAGAAAAGAATCCTGGAATTAACAGAGCCCGATACCCATCCCTGCCCACTCAGGGTCTGATCAAGGGCAAAACAAAACAAAAATCACGTATGTGGTTTTTTGTTTTGTTTTAGAACATAAGAACATAAGAGATGCCAGTGTTGGATCAGGCCAATGCCCCATCCAGTTCAACACTCTGTGTCACACAGTGGCCAGAAATACCAGGTGCCATCAGGAGGTCCAGCAGTGGGGCCAGGACACTAGGAGCCACTCCCACTGTTGCCCCCCCCCCCAGCACAAAGAAGACAGAGCATCACCTGCCCCAGACTGAGAGCTCCTATCGATACCTTGTGGCTAAGAGCCACTGATGGACCTCTGCTCCAGATGTTTATCCATACGAACATAAGAGAAGCCAGTGTTGGATCAGGCCAATGGCCCATCCAGGTGCCATCAGGAGGTCCACCAGTGGGGCCAGGACACCAGAAGCCCTCCCACTGTTGACCCCCCCCCCAAGCACCAAGAAGACAGAGCATCCCTTGCCCCAACCTGAGAGTTCCTATCTATGCCTTGTGGCTCATAGCCACTGATGGACTTCCTCCATATGTTTATCGATAAGAACATAAGAGAAGCCAATGTTGGATCAGGCCAGTGGCCCATCCAGTCCAACACTCTGTGTCACACAGTAGCCAAAAACACCAGGTGCCATCAGGAGGTCCAGCAGTGGGGCCAGGACATTTTAAGACCTCCCACTGTTGCCCCCCTCCCAAGCACCAAGAATACAGAGCATCCCTTGCCCCAACCTGAGAGTTCCTATCTATGCCTTGTGGCTTATTCCAGCTGAGCTATTCAAAGTCTTAGAAGATGATGCTGTTAAAGTTCTGCACTCCATTTGCCAGCAAATTTGGAAAACGCAACAGTGGCCACAGGATTGGAAAAGGTCAGTATACATTCCAATCCCAAAGAAGGGCAATGCCAAGGAATGTTCAAACTATCGCACAATTGCACTCATATCACACGCTAGCAAGGTCATGCTCAAGATCCTACAAGCTAGGCTTCAACAGTACGTGGATAGAGAACTACCAGAAGTACAAGCTGGGTTTCGAAGAGGTAGAGGAACTAGAGATCAAATTTCCAACATTCGCTGGATTATGGAGAAAGCAAGAGAGTACCAGAAAAATATCTACTTCTGCTTCATTGACTATGCTAAAGCCTTTGACTGTGTGGATCACAACAAACTATGGCAGGTCCTTAAAGAGATGGGAGTACCAGACCACCTCACATGTCTCTTGAGAAACCTGTATAAGGGCCAAGAAGCGACAGTTAGAACCGGATATGGAACAACTGATTGGTTCAGCATAGGAAAAGGAGTACGACAAGGATGTATATTGTCGCCTTGCTTATTTAATATATATGCAGAGTACATCATGCGAAATGCTGGCCTGGATGAATCACAAGCGGGAATTAAGATTGCTGGGGAAAAGATCAACAACCTCAGATATGCAGACGATACCACTCTGATGGCAGAAAGTGAAGAGGACCTCAAGAGCCTCTTGCTCAGGGTAAAAGAGGAGAGCGCAAAAGTGGGCTTGAAGCTCAACATCAAAAAAACTAAGATCATGGCATCCGGCCCCATCACTCCTTGGCAAATAGAAGGGGAAGTCGTGGAAGTGGTGACAGACTTCACGTTCCTGGGATCCCAGATCACCGCAGACTGTGACTGCAGCCATGAAATTAAAAGATGCCTGCTCCTTGGGAGGAAAGCGATGGGGAACCTAAACAGCATGATAAAAAGTAGAGACATCACCCTGCCAACAAAAGTCCGCATGGTCAAAGCAATGGTATTCCCAGTAGTCATGTATGGCTGCGAGAGTTGGACTATAAGGAAGGCCAAGCGCCGAAGAATAGATTATTTTGAACTATGGTGCTGGAGAAGACTCTTGAGAGTCCCTTGGACTGCAAGAAGATCAAATCAGTCAATCCTAAAAGAAATCAACCCTGACTGTTCCCTGGAAGGCCAGAGAATGAAACTGAAGCTCAAATACTTTGGCCACCCAAAGAGAAGGGAGCACTCACTGGAGAAGACCCTGATGCTGGGAAAGATTGAAGGTCAAAGAAGACAGTGTCATAGATGCAACGAACATGAAGTTGAGCAAACTTTAGAGGACGGCGGAAGGCCTGGCGTGATCTGGTCCATGGGGTCGCGAAGAGTAGGACTCGACTGTGCGACTGAACAACAACAACTTAACCCCTACAGCGAACTGGCTCTAGAAGAAGAAGACGAAGAAGAAGAAGAGATTGGATTTATACCCTGCCCTTCACTACCCAAAGGAGTCTCAGAGCGGCTGGCAAACTCCTTTCCCTTCCCCTCCCCACAGCAGACACCCTGTGAGGTAGGTGGGGCTGAGAGAGCTCTTGACAGAAACTGCTCTTTTTCAAGGACAGCTCTTATCAGAACTACGGCTTGCCCAAGGTCATCCAGCAGCTGCAAGTGAAGGAGTGGGGAAGTAAACCCGGTTCTCCCAGATTAGAGTCCGCGCACTTAACCACTACACCAAACTGGCTCGATCTATACCTTGTGGCTCATAGCCACTGATGGACCTCTGCTCCATAGGTTTATCTAATTCCCTCTTGCCCTTGATCACATCTGGAGGTGGAGGACTTGCATGTGCGCAAAAGCAGACCAAACAACTCCCTGATGTGGTGTACGCTGGCATTCCACTGTATTTCTGTGCACAACAGCGAGAGCAGCTTGCACGGAGAGAAAGATGCTGATGAGGGGGTCCTCTCTAAGGTAGATTGGACAAAGTAGATAGGGCTCAAGCCATGGAGGAGGAGAAGGAGAAGAGGTTGGATTTATACCCTGCCCTTCACTACCCAAAGGAGTCACAGAACGGCTTACGATCTCCCCGACCCTTCTCCTCCCCACAGCAGACACCCTGTGAGGTCGGTGGGGCTGAGAGAGCTCTTTTGAGGACTGCCCTTGAGAGAACAGCTCTGAGAGAACTTGTGACTGACCCACGGTCACACCAGCAGCTGCATGTGGAGGAGGAGTGGGGAATCAAACCTGGTTCTCCCAGATTAGAGTCCGCGCTCCTAACCATGACACCAAACTGGTTCTCAACAAACAGAAGAAGAGAGGAAAGAAGAGATTGGATTTATACCCTGCCCTTCACTACCCAAAGGAGTCTCTGAGCGGCTTACGATCTCCCCTCCCCTCTCCTCCCCACAGCAGACACCCTGTGAGGTCGGTGGGGCTGAGAGAGCTCTTTCGAGGACTGCCCTCGAGAGAACAGCTCTGAGAGAACTTGTGACTGACCCAAGGTTGCACCAGCAGCTGCTTGTGGAGGAGTGGGGAATCAAACCTGGTTCTCCCAGATTAGAGTCCGCGCTCCTAACCACGACACCAAACTGGCTCCTGGGGTCCTCTCTAAGGCAGACAAGTCTCAGGCCACGGAGAGCTTTGTGGCTCGGCAGCGGCACCTCCCGAGGACGCCGTCCGCCTGGACTTGAAGGGACAGAGAAGGAGGAGAGAGAGAGAGAGAGAATGATGACAAGGCTCTTACTTCCACCGTCTGCACTGGCAGGGTCATCTGGAGGAGAACTCCCCTCTCTGTTTGGCCTGCATAGTGGAAAAAGGATTTCACGTTTGGGGGGCTTTGCGCCTGGCTGCTGCCTGCGTGTTTCCTCGCCAGAAGGCTCTCCGCCCCGCCCCTGCAAACAAGGAGACGTCCCTCCCCGCGCGGCTGCACCTACCGGCACTTGTGGCAGGGGCGGACCAAGTCGTCTTGCTGCACGCGGTCCGTGAGGAACTGAGGCCGGCAGAGGGGCAGGCGGATTCTGGAGAGGAGCTCCGGCAAGCGGGCCTCTCTCCGCTCCCGGTCGTATCTCACCCAGGCCAGGGCGGCTTCGAAGACCTGCCGGGAGAGAAGCGGGAGGCTCGGGGAGGAATGCTCTGGGTGCGAGTCGCCCTGCCTCGGGACGTGTCGGGCCAGGTGACCCAGTGGAGCTGGGCTCTGGCAGTCCTAGAACCACAGAGTTGGGAGGGGTCATAGAGGCCATCTAGTCCAACCCCCTGGTCAACGCAGGATTAGCTTAGAGCAGTGGTGGCGAACCTATGGCACGGGGGCCAGAGGCGGCACTCAGAGCCCTCTCTGTGGGCACGCGTGCCATCGCCCCAGCCAGGCCCAGACCATCATTCAAGTGTCGAATTCTCTGCCAAATAATTTTAAGTCAATGAAAGCCTTTGGGATTGCTTTCCTTACTTTGTTTGGATCATCTTAAGTTAGTGTATGAGTTGTTTTTCCTAAAGTAAAACCTCCGTATTCAGGTTAAATGGCCGTGTCGGCACTTTGCGATAAATAAGTGGGTCTTGGGTCACAGTTTGGGCACTCGGTCCCTAAAAGGTTCGCCATCACTGGCCTACAGCATCCGTGACAAGGGTTTGTCCAGCTTCTGCTTGAAGACCGCCAGTCAGGGGGAGTTCACCACCTCCCCAGGCAGCCGGTTCCACTGTTGCACAACTCTTACTGCAAAAAAGTGTCTCCTAATATCCAGCAACAACCTTCCCACCCTTAATTTCGTCCCATTATTTCGAGTCCTCTCCTCCACTGCCCACAGGAACAGCTCCTTGCCCTCCTCCAAGTGACAGCCCTTCAAAGACGTGAAGAGAGCCACCGTGTCCCCCCTCAACCTCCTCTTCTCCGGACTAAACATTCCCCAGTCCCTCAGCCTTTCCTCGTAGGGCTTCTTAGTCTCCAGGCCCCCAATCATCCTCATCGCTCTCCTCTGCAACCGCTCCATTCCGTCCACCTCCTTTTGGAAGTGAGGCCCCCAGAACTGCACACAGGACTCCAGGTGCAGCCTGACCAATGTTGTGTACAGCGGGACTGTGACTGCCTCGGGGGGTGGTGGATGCTCCTTCGCTGGACGCTTTCAAGCGGAGGCTGGACGACCATCTTTTGGGTATGTTGCAGGGCTCTCTTTCGGCTCTGCTCCTGCAGAGTGCAGGGGGTCGGACTAGATGACCTGCAAGGTCCCTTCCAACTCTAACATTCTATGATTCTATGTAGAAGATGGAGCAGATCTAGTCTCTCTCGCTCCGGATTGCAAGACTAGATCTAATGGGTGGAAATTACAAGGGGGTCGATACCGGCTAAATATCAGGAGAAACTTCCTAACTGTAAGAGGGGTTGAGCAGTGGAACAGTCTGCCTCGGGAGGGGGTGGAGGCTCCTTCGCTGGACGCTTTCAAGCGGAGGCTGGACTACCATCTTTCGAGTATGTTGTAGGGCTATTTTTTGGCTGTGCTCCTGCAGAGTGCAGGGGGTTGGACTAGATGACCTGCAAGGTCCCTTCCAACTCTAACATCCTATGATTCTATCTTGCGATCTGGATGTTATGCCTCTGGCACTCAAGACCCACAGCCCACCCTCCGGATGACTGCGCAATAACCTTTCAAGCAGGAAACTGACCTGGTGGCGAGAACTGCCTCCGGCCCCGCCAGCCCATACCTGCTCCTCCAGCTTAACGTTGAGCTCGTCTCTGGACACCAGCTCCAAGACGTCTTCGAAGGGCAGGGCCAGGAACTCCTCGGACATGGAGACTTCCACAAAGTGCTGGTGGATGAAGCTGTTGGCAGCGTCGTAGAGAACGGCACACATCATGGTTTCGGCAAACTGGCGCACTCCAAGGCAGTTCTTTGGGTGGAGCCTTCCGGGACGATGCCAAAAAAACCCAACCAGACAAGAAACAGCACAGAGGTTGAGAGGCTGCGGCTCAGCAAAAGGACCTCTGCTTTGCATGCAGAAGATCCCAGGTTCAATCCCCGGCATGCCCACTTAAAAAGGACCAGGATGTAGGTGATGTGAAAGACCTCCATCTGAGACCCTGGAGAGCCGCTACCAGTCTAAGTAGACAATACTGACCTTGATGGAACAAAGGTCTGATTCTCTGTAAGGCAGCTTCATGTGTATCAGGTGGAGAAACAGAAGAACATCAGAGAAGCCATGTTGGATCAGGCCAATGGCCCATTCGGTCCAACACTCTGTGTCACACAGTGGCCAAAACCCAGGTGCCATCAGGAGGTCCACCAGAAGGGCCAGAACTCCAGAAGCCCACTGTGCCCCCCCTCCCAAGCACTGAGATTACAGAGAGGAGAAGCCATGTTGGATCAGGACAATGGCCCATCCAACTTTCTGTGTCATACAGTGGCCAAAACCCAGGTGCCATCAGGAGGTCCACCAGTGGGACCAGAAAAGAAGGAGGCTTTGGCCTGGCTGCATGTCCACTAGACAAAGGACTTATGCAAATGCCAGCTCCCAATATTCCATCTCATTCCAGGATGGTGTTCCTGAATACACCCCCTTTTATTTATTTATTTATTTATTTTTATTTATTTCGATTTCTATCCCGCCTTGCCTGACAAGCAGGCTCAAGGCGGCGTACGATAATAATTTACAACAAAAACAGATAAAATTCAACAATAAAATATAAAGTGCAGATTACATACAAACAATAAAGTGCAGATGGCGATCGTTGTAGTTGGCCCCGTATGACTATCCCAAAGAAATTGCCAGTAATAGATGTTCAGTAGCTCGTTCAGTGGTGGCTCCTAACCGAAGGCCTGGTGGAAGAGCTCTGTTTTACAGGCCCTGCGGAACTGTAAGAGGTCCCGCAGGGCCCTGATGTCCTCCGGGAGCTCGTTCCACCAGTGTGGAGCCACCACTGAAAAGGCCCTGGATCTGGTAATAGCCAGTCTGGCATCCTTGGGGCCAGGGCAAATTGGAAACCGGCCGATAGTTGGCCAATTCAGTCGGGTCCAAGGATGGTTTTTTTCAGGAGAGGGCGGACCATCGCTTCCTTGAGTCCCCCTGGCCCCTGCTCTCTCCTGTACACATGAATGGTTAGCATTTGTTGCAAAGGAGAAGCCAAAGCGTTGCATTTCGGGGAAACTGGTGCCATCGGGGAAAGCCCGCCCTTCACCCTTGAGACTGAGTGACCCGCTCCTCTCTCTACAGAGCGCTCCCCTTCCTCCATCCCAACCACCAGGCACAGATAAGACGCCTTCAGCCTGCCAATTATAATAAAGACCACAGGGGAAATTTTGGGCAGGAACGCAGAGGAACGGAGTTCCGGCTGGCTCCCAAGTTGGTCACGCCCAGCAGGAACTCATTAGCATAATAGGCCACATCCAACAGCAGAAACTCATTAGGATTGGCTACATTAGGGATGTGAGGCCTAACATGCAAAGGAGTTCCTGCTACAAAAAAAGCCCTGGGTTTGGACAACAGACAAGGTCAACAGAATAAGAAGCAAAAGGTGGGTATGGCTGGACGACCACACTTCTGGTAACATGGGGGTGCGGCCTAATGTGCTAATGAGCTGTGATGTCGGGGGTGTGGCCTAATATGCTAATGAGTTTCTACTGTTGGGTGTGGCCTATTATGCTAATGAGTTCCTGCTGGGCTTTTTCTACAAAAAGAGCCCTGAAGACCACCATCACCAACCCAGAATAAAACGAGGTTGCACTTACCAGTAACTATTGTTTATTGAGTATCTTCTGTGCAGGCCCACATGGGGACTCTGCGCATGAGTGGGCCTGCCATAGGATAGGTCTTTACAGGTAGAAGCCTCCAGGGGTGCCAGAAGCTTGTTCCCACCAAAGGGACCACATGCTCCAGCACAGCAGCGTCCCCCCTACCTTCAGTACCTCTTTTGCCTCCGTTCTAGCTGTAAAGGCCTATCCAATGGAAGGCCTGCTCATGCGCAGTCACAGAATCATAGAGTTGGGCGGGACCTCCAGGGTCATCTATAGTCCTACCCCCTGCACAATATAGGAAATTCACAAATACCTCCCCCGCCACACCCACAGTGACTGCTGTTCCACATTTATTTATTTGGTGTCGTGGTTAAGTGCGCGGACTCTAATCTGGGCGAACTGGGTTTGATCCCTCACTCCTCCACTTGCAGCTGCTGGATGGCCTTGGCCAAGCCGTAGTTCTGACAAGAGCAGTCCTCTCAAGGACAGTTCTGGAAAGAGCTCTCTCAGCCCCGCCTACCTCCCAGGGTGTCTCTTGTGGGGAGGGGAAGGAGTTTGTAAGCCGCTCTGAGACTCTGAGTGAAGGGTGGGGTATAAATCCAATCTCCTCCTCCTCCTCCTCCTTCTTCTCCCTCATTTAAAAAGTTATTTCCTTCTCCTCTATCCTGAACCCACTGCCCCTCAAGTTCTCCACCCCTCACAAATTTTTCCAGACCTCTGTCATTCCCATCATTATTGCCTTTTTTTTCTACACCAAGAAGTCCCAAACTCTCCAGCCTTTCATAGAATCGTAGAGTTGGAAGGGACCTCCAGGGTCATCTAGTCCAACCCCCTGCACCAGGCAGGAAATTCATAAATACCTCCCTCCACCTCCACTGATCGCTGTTCCACGCCCAGAAGATGACCAAAAAAAACCCCTCCAGGATCCCCAGCCAAACTGGCCTGGAGAAAAACTGCTTCCTGACCCCCAAGTGGCGATCAGCATTTCCCTGGGTGTGCAAGAAAGGGCCACAAGAACTGAGCACTGAGGCGACCCGCTCACTTAACAAAGTAGTTGGAAAGTGATTCAGCAAAGATTTAGCTTTATTCAACAACTCGAACACAAGTCCACCACGGATCAACATCTGATAGCCAGAACAGCTTTTGCATTAAAGCTGTTCCCTTTTATAATAGAGTTTAAAATGTTGAAGTAAATATAAAAAAAATGTAAAGGGAAAATGGGTAGAGCACTGCGGGAAGCCACTACTAAGGGAGGGGGGGAAGGGAAATAAGGATATTTGAAAAGTGTAAGTAAATGTTAAATGTGATACAATATCCAAAAATAAAAGTTTTGTGATGAAAAAAAAGGGAATTAGATAAGCATATGGAGCAGAGGTCCATCAGTGGCTATTAGCCACAAGGTATAGATTTGGGGCTCTGGGGCAAGTGATGCTCTGTCTTCTTGGTGCTTGGGGGGGTCAACAGTGGGAGGGCTTCTAATGTCCTGGCCCCACTGGTGGACCACCTGATGGCACTGGTATTTCTGGCCACTGTGTGATACAAAGTGTTGGACTGGATGGGCCTTTGTCTAGATGGCAGCCCTCCACGTACTTGAAGATGGTGATCATCTCACCTCTCAGTCGTCCCCATGTGCGACTGCACAGAAGATCGATGATGAAATGCAAACCCCATTGAATAAAACCAAATAGAGGACTGCAGAGTAGTAGTTAGGGATTCCTTTTGAAGGAGAAAGAGAAAACCCTACAGGTTTGTTAGGGGGCAGCAGACAGAATGCTGGATTCCGGCTGACAGTCATCATGGAGTACTGTGTACAGTTCTGGTCACCACACCTCAAAAAGGATACTAGAGCATTGGAAAAAGTGCAGAAAAGGGCAACTAGAATGATCAAAGGGTTGGAACACTTTCCCTATGAGGAAAGGTTAAGGGGCTTAGGGCTCTTTAGCCTGGAGAAACGACGGCTGAGGGGTGACGTGATCGAGGTTTATAAGATTATGCC